ACTTTTGGCTTGACCGTATTCTTTCAACCAAAACTCAAGAATTTTCCTGTGTGAATTTTGTATAAAAAGCAACCGTCTGAATTCAGGCGGTTGCTATATTCTTCACAAAACATATACGCTCATTACGATGAAGAAGTCTTGACAAAACATGTACGATTAAATCATGACAAAACATATACGCTCATGTTTGACAAAACATATACGATGAAGTCTATGAACATAATAATATTTCAACCAGGAGCCAAATTCTTGCGATTTTCATATGGAATCTCTTCTCTCGGTTTTCCGAGGTAAGCAATTATATGAAATCATTTACACTCATTACGATTAAATCATGACAAAACATTTACGTTCATGTTTGACAAAACATTTACGTTCATGTTTGACAAAACATATACGATTAAATCATGACAAAAACATATACGATTAAATCATGACAAAACATATACGAAGAAACCTTGACAAAACATATACGATGAAATCATGACAAAACATTTACGATTAAATCATGACAAAACATTTACGAAGAAGTTTATTTCCTGGACTGTTGTCTAAATGTCATGTTGTCAGTAATTTTAAGAGAAGTTAATTAACCTGTGACATGGTGACGTAGTGACACCTAAAAACCATCTACCCTAAACATTATTTTTGCTGAATTCAACAACAAAATGAACGAGGTCAGGATGTATGCAAATACCTTTGAATTCATTCATAAATGCCTTAGTAAGCTCAAAATGCTGTTTTTGCATCACATTTTGACGAAGTGAAGATCTTCACTTCGTCAAAAATGTTTTTGCATTCTCTACTGTATCTTCGAGTTCTTCTTCATCTAACTTCTCATGAACTTTCTTATCTATGGAGTCCATAATATCTTTGACATAAAATGCATACTTTACAGAGCACCATTCAGCAACAAAATGAACGAGGTCAGGATGTATGCAAATACCTTTGAATTCATTCATAAATGCCTTAGTAAGCTCATAAAATGTTTGTTTTGAGGTCGAGCCACTTTTGGCTTGACCGTATTCTTTCAACCAAAACTCAAGAATTTTCCTGTGTGAATTTTGTATAAAAAGCAACCGTCTGAATTCAGGCGGTTGCTATATTCTTCACAAAACATATACGCTCATTACGATGAAGAAGTCTTGACAAAACATGTACGATTAAATCATGACAAAACATATACGCTCATGTTTGACAAAACATATACGATGAAGTCTATGAACATAATAATATTTCAAACCAGGAGCCAAATTCTTGCGATTTTCATATGGAATCTCTTCTCTCGGTTTTCCGAGGTAAGCAATTATATGAAATCATTTACACTCATTACGATTAAATCATGACAAAACATTTACGTTCATGTTTGACAAAACATTTACGTTCATGTTTGACAAAACATATACGATTAAATCATGACAAAAACATATACGATTAAATCATGACAAAACATATACGAAGAAACCTTGACAAAACATATACGATGAAATCATGACAAAACATTTACGATTAAATCATGACAAAACATTTACGAAGAAGTTTATTTCCTGGACTGTTGTCTAAATGTCATGTTGTCAGTAATTTTAAGAGAAGTTAATTAACCTGGTGACATGGTGACGTAGTGACACCTAAAAACCATCTACCCTAAACATTATTTTTGCTGAATTCAACAACAAAATGAACGAGGTCAGGATGTATGCAAATACCTTTGAATTCATTCATAAATGCCTTAGTAAGCTCATAAAATGCTTGTTTTGCATCACATTTTGACGAAGTGAAGATCTTCACTTCGTCAAAAATGTTTTGCATTCTCTACTGTATCTTCGAGTTCTTCTTCATCTAACTTCTCATGAACTTTCTTATCTATGGAGTCCATAATATCTTTGACATAAAATGCATACTTTACAGAGCACCATTCAGCAACAAAATGAACGAGGTCAGGATGTATGCAAATACCTTTGAATTCATTCATAAATGCCTTAGTAAGCTCATAAAATGTTTGTTTTGAGGTCGAGCCACTTTTGGCTTGACCGTATTCTTTCAACCAAAACTCAAGAATTTTCCTGTGTGAATTTTGTATAAAAAGCAACCGTCTGAATTCAGGCGGTTGCTATATTCTTCACAAAACATATACGCTCATTACGATGAAGAAGTCTTGACAAAACATGTACGATTAAATCATGACAAAACATATACGATTAAATCATGACAAAACATATACGAAGAAGTCTTGACAAAAACATATACGTTCATTACGAAGAAGTCATGACAAAACATATACGATTAAATCATGACAAAACATATACGATTAAATCATGACAAAACATATACGATAAATCATGACAAAACATATACGTAAACATTTATTTCCTGTGTTGTTGTCAAAATGTCATGTTGTCTCATTTTTCAGAGAAGTTAATTAACCGAGTGACACATGGTGACATAGTGACACCTTCAGTTCTTCGAAAATAATTCATAAATGCCTTCCCCTGCTGTGTTGTCAAACATGAACGTAAACATTATTTTTGGTTCATTTACACTCATTACGATGAAATCTTGACAAAACATGTACGATGAAATCATGACAAAACATATACGTTTAGTTTCGATGAAATCATCATGACAAAGCATATACGATGAAATCATGACAAACATGTACGATGAAATCATGACAAAACATATACGCTCATGTTTGACAAAACATATACGATGAAGTCTATGAACATAATAATATTTCAAACCAGGAGCCAAATTCTTGCGATTTTCATATGGAATCTCTTCTCTCGGTTTTCCGAGGTAAGCAATTATATGAAATCATTTACACTCATTACGATTAAATCATGACAAAACATTTACGTTCATGTTTGACAAAACATTTACGTTCATGTTTGACAAAACATATACGATTAAATCATGACAAAAACATATACGATTAAATCATGACAAAATATACGAAGAAACCTTGACAAAACATATACGATGAAATCATGACAAAACATTTACGATTAAATCATGACAAAACATATACGTTTAGTTTCGATGAAATCATCATGACAAAGCATATACGATGAAATCATGACAAAACATGTACGATGAAATCATGACAAAAACATATACGCTCATGTTTGACAAAACATATACGATGAAGTCTATGAACATAATAATATTTCAAACCAGGAGCCAAATTCTTGCGATTTTCATATGGAATCTCTTCTCTCGTTTTCCGAGGTAAGCAATTATATGAAATCATTTACACTCATTACGATTAAATCATGACAAAACATTTACGTTCATGTTTGACAAAACATATACGTTCATGTTTGACAAAACATATACGATTAAATCATGACAAAACATATACGATTAAATCATGACAAAACATATACGAAGAAACCTTGACAAAACATATACGATGAAATCATGACAAAACATTTACGATTAAATGTAAATCATGACAAAACATTTACGAAGAAGTTTATTTCCTGGACTGTTGTCTAAATGTCATGTTGTCAGTAATTTTAAGAGAAGTTAATTAACCTGGTGACATGGTGACGTAGTGACACCTAAAAACGCATCTACCCTAAACGTTATTTTTGCTGAATTCACAACAAAATGAACGAGGTCAGGATGTATGCAAATACCTTTGAATTCATTCATAAATGCCTTAGTAAGCTTCATAAAATGCTTGTTTTTGCATCACATTTTGACGAAGTGAAGATCTTCACTTCGTCAAAAATGTTTTGCATTCTCTACTGTATCTTCGAGTTCTTCTTCATCTAACTTCTCATGAACTTTCTTATCTATGGAGTCCATAATATCTTTGACATAAAATGCATACTTTACAGAGCACCATTCAGCAACAAAATGAAGCGAGGTCAGGATGTATGCAAATACCTTTGAATTCATTCATAAATGCCTTAGTAAGCTCATAAAATGTTTGTTTTGAGGTCGAGCCACTTTTGGCTTGAC